GACGGGAGCGAGCGCGCCGCCGGGGGACCGCGCGCCCCTGCGAGCCGAGCCGCCCGCCTCGGGGGACCCTGCAGGTCTGCCTCTGAGAGACCCTGGCGAGCGCCGGTCTTTAAAGAGGTGCTCGCTGTGGGTGGCTCTGCTTGGGCGAGGCGAAAACCTAACTCGCAGGTGACGAGGCGTGGAGCGGCTGGAACAGACGCCGAGAAGACGAAGATAGAGCAGACTGACCCGATGCCCCGAGGAGTGTGACCGAGGGGGGGAACCCCGCCGGGTCTAGAGGCGCGGGTGGGACAAAGCTGCAGGACTCGGGCTGGCACTCTCCTGGAGGGGACCTGGGACTCGGGACTCCCCAGGGGCGCCTGGCTTGGAAGGGAAAGGTGTGGCCCAGGGTGTCCCGCGGGCGCCGGCCCGGGGAAGGGCTGCGATTCCTCAGTCTTGGCATCCAGTGGAAAAAGCCCTAAAACGAAGCGTCAACCCCCATTTATCATTTTACTACCAGCATAATCTAAGGCAAGTCAAGAAGGAAAATAATAACAATAAGTACAAATATCACTTTAAAGTGCTCTTTTCAATCTTTAGCAGTTTAATTAAATTGGGGGGAATGATAGGGAAGTTGTTTGGGGCTTAATTTAAGAAAAAACTTTACAATTATGAGAGTACCAGAAGAAGAAAAGCAACCCAGAGCTAACAATAATAGCTAACATTTATTGAAAGCTTTGCACATGTTAAGGACTCTGCTAACAGCTTTACATACATTATCTGATTTGTCCTGTACGCGGGCATCCCATGGGGTTGGTAACTATTGTCCCCATGTTGAAGCTGAGGAAAATGAGGTATCAGAAGTTAAGTAACTTGCCTCACATTACTGCAGATGTGCATGCAGAAACTGAAGGCCTGGTTATCCAGGTGTTTTAAGTAAAGGTTTTATGTGTAGGGTTGAAGAGTGAGTCCTAAAGCATGTGTGGACGCAAAGGGGGCCACATACTAAACCTGCCACGCTCAGGGGAGGCCTGCATGGCTGGCCCTACAAACTCAGAGACCAGAAGTAACTACATAGGGTGGTCTGAAATAAAAATTTCTAACTAAAAATAGATCATGGCAGGTGGTCACATCCTAGGTCAATCTTTACCGTAAGTGAGCACATCTGTTGTCTTTCTGCATCTCAGATAACAGACCTTTGGAAGGTCAGAGTAAACCCCTTTTCCAGACCCCTCAGGGCACACTCAGCACCAGAGCAGGAGACCACAGAACCCCTTAGAACCCCTCGTCGTTATCTTGTTTCCCAAATACCAGTCTGTGTGCAGTAAATGTTAATTGTTAACGATCCTGTACCCACCAGTGTAAAAGAACTATGTGTCTCTCCATTTTGCTCTTCATTCTTGGAGATTTCCCAGCTTTGTTTTCTGCCATCACCTTAATCTACCACCAATGGATTTCATGTAACCTCCCTTAGGTCTCCTCCTTTGATTCTAATGTATAAAATAAGTTGAAACACTGCCATCCTTTGAAGCATTTTCTCAATTCTTTGAGATTTTGCTTCCCTGCAGTTGTCATCAGTTTGGCTCAAATAAACTCCTAGAAATTCTCTATAGGTTTAGATGTTTCTTATGTTGACACATGGTACCAGTGATTTTTTAAGATTCATTTATTTATATTTAGTGTTTATTGGGGGGGGGGTGGAACAGACCATGATTTCAAAAACATTTCTGAAGACAACTAAAAAAATGTTAAAGTGTGACACACAAATGAAAAATATAGGGTGTCCCCAAAAATGTCTACACACACTTTGAATAATTATAAAGGCAGTGTTTATCAAAATACATTTCATTTCCAAAATTGAGCTATCAGCTAGTAAAGTGTGCACACATTTTTGGGAGACACCCTGTATTAGGTAAACAATAGTATGAGTGGTAGTCAGTTATGGCAATAATAAAAGTAGTTTGGAAATGACTGATGGTTGGGAGACGCTAACCGTCAGTTCATTTCAACTCTAAAATTCTGTTATTTGACCTCTCAGAGTCTTGTCTTACTAATTTTTACTAATAAAGTTATAATATTTAACCTAGAAGTTGTAAGAATAAAGGAGATGAGGCAATTAAATGCAATTTATAAATTGTAAAGCACCTTACAATTATGAGGTGTTAAAGTCATAATCCTCCCCGGTTCTCTGCTCCAACAGAATAACCCTGTGCTTAAAAATCCCTTTTAAAATTTTTTGTTTACCTATGTGCTTCTCTGACTCTGTTATTGTTAACTGTATAAAGAAATTCCAGTGACTTCAGAGCAGTACTAGTTTCATTTTTCTTTTACCTGCTCCAATCCTAATTGCCAGACAGTTCTCAGTGTGTGCAAGTCTTTAAGATTTAGAAGTTCCTGAAAGCATCAAAAGAAACAGAAAGTGCTGCCCTAGCCAGTTGCCCAGTGGTTAGAGCATCGGCCCTTGGACTGAAGGGCCAGGGTTCAATTCTGGCCAAGGGCATGTATCTCGGTCCCCAGTCCGGGCACGTGTGGGAAGCAACCAATCCATACATCTTTCTCACATTGATGTCTCTCTCTCTCCCCCTCTCTCTCTATCTCTCTCTCCCCCCCTTCCACTCTCTCTGAAACTGAAAAGCAATGGAAAAAATATCCTCAGGTGAAGATTAAAACAAAAAGAAACAGAAACTGCTCATCATGTTAGCCTGTAAGCTAAAACCCAATTCAGTAAATACTTGTTGATTGTTGGGCACAAGGCAGGAGGATACGAAGCCCTTTAATAAGATACAGTTATGGTCCTCAAGGAGTTTATGACTCCGATTTTGTTGAAAAGCACGCATTTGGGACGATCCAAATGCAGTAGTTTTTGAGCCTGAATGTTTATATTCACCTGAGGAGTGTGCTCTTGTTCTCTTTGGGGTTCTGTGTTTTAAAAATTCAGCAATTCTTATAGGCAGCCAGCGCTCGCCTTTCAAATCCATTCTTTATGAAATGGGAAAATTTATCCACCTAAGCTGCTGAGACCGCACAATTTATTAGAGATTGATCCAGGAATAAAATGCAGATCCAAACCCAGATACTAATTTTTTTTTAATGTTTTTTTATTCAGT